GCAGAGCAGCGTAAAAAATAAGAGAATATAGTACCTGATATATGGCCGGCTAACATCACATATATGCAACTAGAAGTAACACAATTTAGCCGAGTACTTTTTTTGATGTTTAATATTTACTGTTGCTAGACTTCGGCATGTTTAGAAAATCGAGAGTTTGCAAAAAACAGCGCTTTTATAGTTACAGTTGTGTAAAAAGAAAAATTTAACACCGGGAAAAAATAAAGTTTAAAGGTCATGGTATAGCGAAAGTTATAAGCCAAAGTTATAAGTCGAAATATCATGGCATTTTGCAAATGATGACCAATGATCACGGTACCACTTCGTACAGATCTAACACTATACCTTGTAGGGCTTGGAGTAGATTTTGCTTTCTGACCTTTCTGCGTGTAAAGGTCAAAATGAGAATACTCTCCCAACTCTTGAATACCGGATAACATCGGCTCTATATAGCAATAATTATCCTATTCCAAATACAAATCTACTTCTCGTGGATAGTCCTGGTCCTGGTGATTGCGTCGCGCGATGCAGACTCACATGTACGCCAAAAGCGTCACGTAGCACTGACCTGGACACTGGCCGGTCACGTTTAGTGAGAAGTCGATCACGTTTAGCACGTACTCTCATATATTTGCTATACGGGGACGTGCCGCTGGCCAGGGTATGGTTTTTGGCCTTGCTCCCGAAATTCTCAGGCTCTACAGGCTCTACAATTTAGATATAAGACCGATATAATTTTTTTGTGTGTCTTGGACAGGGTAATATTTTCATAAAAAAACAACGTAGAAATAGTAGAAATACCGTTTCACTGTCMCAGGATTAACGTGTTATCAAAAACGTCTTATTGTYTTTGTTTGATGGTTGCGGCGTAGATAGCTATTCCTTATTTTTCCGATTAGTTGAACAGGGTGAGGATTTTTACTTTTTAGTGTCTTTTAAACAGGGTCAGGGATTTAGCCCGCTGGCGGCACGTACCTATCCAAAACGGGGTTGAGTACCCACCCCCCCTCCCCCCGGGGGGAGGGGGGGATCAAGCGTATTTTAATTTTATTTTGATCGGTTTTTACTAAACCGGGCGGGTAGCCCAAGTCACATATGTAAAGACCAGTACAGTTTTCTCACACCGCTTGTTCCCTCATTTAGAATGCAAAAGTTCTGTTGTGCAACTTTTTTTCTGTTGATATCGTTTGAGGCGACAAGCTCCCTTGCTTTTTTGAGTACCGAAGTGTACTGACGTCACAAATATGCTGTTTTTCGAATTTTTCGGATTCGTTGAAACCTACCAAATTTCAGTGTCTTGTGACCACATACAAACGTTTGTATATAAATTTGCTCTGGGACATAGTGCCATCTGGGCAAATTTACAAGCATTTGCATTGAATGTAGTCATTCCATAAAATCGATAGAATCTCCGCTATAAATGTCACTAAAACACTGATTTAGCAAGAATGCATTGAAAATTATGCACTTTCAGAATATTGTGGTCAAATTTATAAAAACCCGAAAATCGTTTTGGACGTCGTCATTTCGGTACTCTATAGGAATTGAATTAAATAATAAGTTGGACAGTTTTCGTCAAATTCTAGGAAGGAGACACATTAAATCAGACCTCAGAATTCTTCTTTTCCGTGTACTTAATTTATTCATTTATATCATCTTTTGATAATACAGGGTTTTTTAAAAAACATTTTTTTATAATTTATACAATTTTGTTAAATTAGCTCATTATAAATTCGTTTAGTTAATTATTTGACAAATATCGCGTTGATTCAGTTTTTTGTACCCTTTATGATTATATTCCTGACTAATGAAGGATATCATTTTTTCATGGAAAAAAAAAAAGATTTTAGAAATCCAACTTCACTGAGCGAGTTATAAGGTCCTGTTAAACTGTGCAATTTTCTGAGCAACTGTTACGACACAAGTTGCTTGACACAAGTTGCTTGAAGAATTTCAAAGTGTAACAGGGTTCGTCTCGCAACTTTTTTTCTTCTTTTTTTCTTTTGTTCAACGAAGTAGAACTCAGTTCGACTTTTCGCAACGCATTGCAGCAATATGCAAAACAATTGCAAAGTGTATCATCCCTCCAGTAACTTTTCGATTGTCTGCCATCTTCATGAAGATGGCAGACAATCGAAAAGTCATTCCGCCTGCCAGCTTACCTTGCTCCAAAAATAACTTATTGCGCAAATTGTATCGCAACGGCGTTATAAGACAAGTGATTGACAAAATTTCACAGCGTATAACAGCGCCTTATATGAATCAAATCATGATCCAGATTCCTCATACCTGCGCGCGTTTTGCCCCTATATAAAATTTCCGCAAAGCCTCGTTTCAATTATTTTTTTGCTGTCAATGTGTTAATGCCGCCTTAGCTTTTTCTGTTGTTGCTGTTTCTGTTGTTACCGTTGTCACTGTTATTAAATTACATTTACACCATGATCTTTCTTTAGCTGTTTATGTACACGTCTTTCCAAAATGAAAGCTGAATCTCGGATAGACGGGCTACCACGAAACGGCTTTAATGCTCCTTTTTTGTGCAAATATACCTCTTGTCCAAGGCTTCTTTGGCAATGCACTGCCGCCGAGTTATCCCTAAAAATAAAAACAAATACGATCCAATAATTCTCTATATAAAAAGGACCCTGAGTTTCCAAACGATTACAATACATACTTTGTACAGTCGTACCTCAATGTGACCGATTTTAACGATGAGCAGTTGTTGAATTGTTCGTGAACTGTTTTTGCAGTGCCACAAAACGTAAAGTCTGCTTGTTCAACAGGTTCAGTCAGGTTTCCTAGAAAAACGATTTGAAAATTACCATTCGTTTACTCCTAAAAGAAATTGATGACCTAGTTAGTTTTATCATACATCAAGACCTCAGAAATCAAAACGTCTTAAAAGCGTTCAAACAGAGTGTTATGTGGTAAAACATTCGATGTATAGTGGTCGCGAGTGCGAGCGAGTTTAATAACAGAAGCCACTGTCTAGGGAGACTCGGTGACGACTCCCAGTATCTATAGACATATAAAACATGCATTTATTTATTTTCAAACAGAGAACCACGCCATGGCTAGAGCCCAGAGACAGTCCGGCTTTTTGACAGCGGTATGTTACAGGACGGTAGCCTCTGCAGAGTACGGGATTGAGTGGCACAATAATTCTTATACAGCAATTTCAGAAAACGTTGAATACGGCATAGTGCATCCCAAGACCGCAATGCATGGTTACCATCGAAGTCCATGTTAGCTGCGCTACGAAATGACAATAGACCCCTTGCATGTGACGTCAAAGCAGCTTCATCTGGAGGACAAAACAAAAGATTTTTATCCTCTTGGGAACTAGAATCTATTGTTTTGTCCTCCAGTTGGAGCTGCATTCCCATGAACTGCAAGGGGTCTATACTCCAGTTTCGAATTCTCTTTTGTGCAAGCTTAGCTTCAATCAAGCATAAATTTTCATTGTCTTCTTTGTACACAGATTGTTTGCATTACAATAGTTTCTCTGTTGAATAAAAGAATATATTACATGCTTTCGAGGTTAAGACTGCACAAATAAGATCTCGAAACTGGAGTATTGCTTTCCAATGAAGCTCCTGAATATACGGTCYGGGAGCTGGTATAAGSTTGGTATAATCGCGCTTTGAAACAGTGAAAACGATTCTTGAACGGTGAGAGAAAGACCAACAATGCATTTCGGTCTGCAGTATCACAGTATTCAGTATTCAACGTCTTCTGAAATAGCGGTTTAATAAAGAGCTTGTTTACCTTCAGTGGTACTGCTGATTGCATCATACACTACATAACTATAATCATCGGGTTTTTCCTGTGTTAATAAAGAACGAGTATGACATAAACGCACCTAACAGTTATGATATTTTAAGCTGCTAACATGAGAGAGGTGGAAGATCCAAGACACTCTAGCTAGAAAATTCACTACTCAAACATAATTTTGTATTCCTGAAGGGATTGGTTTCGGATGCACCAGTATATTCAATAATCAGTCACTGGAAAAAATCGCGCGCTTTAAAGGTTGTGAATTTGATGTAAATATGATGTAAGTGTCCAAAATTCTGTAAATTTGATTTTCATTAAATTTACAAACTTTTGGACACTTACATCATATTTACATCAAACTTACAACCTTTAAAGCGCGCGATTTTTTCCAGTGAGTATTCATCACAAATGGTACTTACAGTGGTTTCAGGGCCAGTTTCAGAACATTGATTCAAATGAACCTCCAATTCACCCAACTCATTCAACGTTGTCTTCCACTAAAACGAACAGGAATATGTAGGATAAATGAAGAAAAAAAATGTGTAGACTTGTTTGTAATTATTACTTCATCATCGTGTATGATACACGAGCAAATAGCGACGTTGTTACGGAAATTTAGCGTTTTTGTTAATGCGGAAGTTTCATTTTATTGACCGGAAGACTACATAAATATCCGGGTCGTTAGTATTAGCGGGTATTGATAAAAGAGCCAATCCGTATGCAATATCGATAAAAGCAGAGAATCGCAATGAGAGGTTCTGCAATGCCGGGTGTCTATAGCAGTAGGGCCTCGTGCATGCGCAGTAATAGCGGTTGTCTGTGTTACAGGACCGATATTTTAACCTATTCAAATAATCATATTTTTTTCGGTAATGCTGATACAGTTATACATGTGTTTTTACATGTMCATCATGTGCTTGTCGTATGATGATCACGGATAGACCCTTGAGCTGCCTTGAAGAGTAGATATGTAMTAGCCTCATTGTAATACAATAACAGCCTTAATAATACAACACAATTGTACTTTACACCCTGACACAGAAGGGGGGAATCTAATTTTATTTTCTTAAAGGGGGGGGGGGGGGGGGGGGGGGGGTGAGAGAACGTCTAAAATTAACAAGAACTTTAATTGGAAACTGAAAAATAAACGGTGTCAGATTCTGTGCTTTTGAGCCAAATACTTATTGAAGTGGAAAACTTCTCAAGAAAAGCGTGCCACGATTTGCGACAACTCTTTACTAACGAATAATTAATTAATAAATTCACGGGGGGGGGGGGGGGGGGATGGCAGAGCGTAATTTATTTCGTTTGCGGGGGGGAGAGGGGGGTTGTAATTAACTTTTTTTAATTTTCTTTTGGCTCATTTCTCACTCAATCCCGCCTCCCCCTCCTGATGAATATTGCGCAGTCCCTTAGGTCTTTATTGCCTGTAATAGCAGAGACGTTGAGTCCCAAGGCCCAAGGCGGAGCAGTTGTTAACGAGGGAGGTGGGAGGGGGAACTATTAGTCCTCATACAGGAATTTGCAATATTTTTAACTGATGTAGACTCATATCTGATACAGACCCATGTCTGATAGTACTTACCAATGCTTTGATTGTCTCCTGATCTTCACTTAAACTRTCTTCAGCAAGAAGTATTAACACTGTGTTGGAGTGAGCTTGTACAAAAAGGTTTACATGGACCAGGCCATCAATCTGTGAAGAATACGTTAGTTAATGAAACAGAAATCATGATAGGAATACAATGACTTAATCGATTGGCTGATTTATAATTGAATGATTAATTGATTGATTAAATAATTAATGATCGAATGGGCTAGAGGTCGGATGATTAAATAAGTGATTGGTTAAATAATTAAAATCTGGGACCAATCGACTTCATATTTACTTTTCAATATCAATAAATTATAATTGTCTTACTGCCTTATATAAATGCACTGAATATATGTTACATCAATTTCCATTTTCGAACACTACCCGACATTCTAAATAACCAAATTAGTGTTTTTGACGACAACTTGTCAGTTTACATAGCCMTTAGTCACACCCCTAACGTCAACGAATTATTCACTTATCTCCTATTTCTTCTAATGCTTTATATTGTAATTTTGTATGTATGTATCAAGTAAATAAGGGACTACGCAATATTTATGAGAAATGAGCCAATATTTATTTATTACTCGTGAACAAAGAGTTGTCGCAAATCGTGGCACGCTTTTCTTGAGAAGTTTTCGAATCTGGCACCGTTGATATTTCAGTTTTCAATTACAGTTCTAGTTAACTTTAGACGTTGCCCCCGTCCTTAAGTTATTAAAATTAAATGTTGCCCCCCCCCCCATGGATTCTCAACCCCCCTCCTGATAAATATTGCGCAAGTCCCTAAACTGATTGATTGATTGATCAAATGAGTGACAGATTGATTGAATGCATCGGTTGATGTGTGGATGGAAATAACATATAAATCCTACGCGAAAAACAAAAGATACGACAGCCATATTCGTGTAAAGGAATCTAATGAAAAACGTTTTGTTTGCCGCACCGTGACGTCATATAGTAATGACGTCATGTACTACTGAATCAGGATGTGTGTGAAAAGATGAATCGAAATACCTGATATAAACTTTCATCGAAGTCATCAACATATTCTGCTTGWTCCTCTTGCTTTTCTCTAACTGTATCTGTACTCGATTCAAAATCAACAGTCACATATGAAGAACATAGGCTATGTTCACTATATTCAGAATTCTCTCGTTGCAAGGCAGGACTTTTAGCCTTACTCACAACATCTGTTTGAGATAGTGAGCCTTCAGACGAACCATGATACAAGCAGAGTCCAGAGTCTCCTGGTGTATTTGGACAATTCCCTGGGCATCCAGGGTTAGGCGATTTTGATGACAAACTAGATTCTCGACCACTTCCTATAGACAACCCACCCTCTGATTCGCGTGCWGAGTCACTCTGTTCCGCTTTTGAGCCCTTACCAACAGCTGCATTAAGATCAGTTTGAACCAAGTCTTTGAAAAAGCTTTTTTCAACCTTCTTATCATCAGGTTGGTTAAGATTTAAAGCKGAGTACTTGCTAGCCCCGAGATCGTGAGCTTTTAAGTCACGATAACTCTGTAAAAAKGCATCAACAGTTTTTTCAGTTAATGTTATTTCCTCTTCATTTTCGAGGTCTTCCACGGTATCATGAAACTCTTCTACAGGACTGCTAACTAACTCCTGGGGGAGGGTAGAGGGGGAGGTMGTAGGYGGACCAGTGAGAATTGCTGTTGATGAGTCMGACTGACKACTTCTTGCAGAGGTATCTATGGCAACGTCACAGCAACAATCATCTTCATTAATTTCACTAGKGACAATTGTATCAAGACSACTAGACAGTTGAGTACTGCTCTCCTCAYGACCTTTATTATTGTCACAGTCACCAWTATTGGTTAAAATGTTACAGTTCAGGTCGTCATTAGCCTCTACAACTTTCTCTATTGATGTGTCATTCAGTTCCCTTTCAACTGGGAAATCACAATTTGCTTCGTTGCATTCACAGATGACTCGGTCAATGAGTGAATTAAGTAGTTCTTTACAAATCTCATCTGTTTGAGGATCAAGAAWGTCTTGAAAAGGTGCGTCCTTTGAAAGACCAGTGTAGATGCGTAGTCCTAAGATGTTTATTTCATCCATTGTTAATTCGTGATCATCTGGAAATGTGCTCATATAATTTACAAAACTGTCACAAATATCACTATCATTTACATCGTCACTTATTTTCTTYTTCACAGCAGCAGGTTCACAGTTATTTATGTCTCCATTTTGAGCAGGCGCGCAGTCACTTAGGCCCCCATTTTGAACAGGTTCAGTGTTATTTATKTCCCYATTTKGAACAGKTTCACCGTCATTTATGTCCTCATTTTGAGCAGGCACRCTGTCACTTATGWCCTCGTTCWGTGSAGGTTCAATGCCATTTATATTTGGAGTAGGCACGCAGTCGCTAATGCCCTTTTTCAAAGCAGGTGCACTATCATTTATGTCCCCATCTCGAGCAGGTACAATGTCACTTACGTCCTTTTTCAGAGCACGCACATTGTCACTTGCATGCATGTCTCCATCCATAGGAGATGCAATGTCATTTATGTCCATTCTCAGAGCAGGTACACCGTCATTTGTGTCCCTATTTTGTGCAGGTACACTGTCACTTATGTCCCTATTCCGAGTAGGCACACTGTCATTTATGTCCATTCCCACAGCAGGTACACCGTCATTTGTGTCCCTRTTTTGTWCAGGTGTGTTATTTATGTCCTTATTCAGAGAAGGCASACCTTGACCTTCATGTATGTCCCAATTTAGAACAAATGCACTATGATCTACGTCCCCATTCAGAAGACGTCCAGTATCATCTAATCCTCCATTCAGAGCTGGTATGCCATCGTTATCATTGTATCCATTTCCAAGTRMAGACTTGTCCAAGACACCCTTGGTATTTGACTTACAGTCAACARCATCCATTTCACTTTCCTTGCATTTTGAATGCATTACACTATCATCCATTGGTTCATTTAAGTTTGATAAACTTCCAATTTCTTTGACTGATGTGTTCAGTTCACTTGTAGAAGTCGCGGCTTGTTTTGGCACAGGTTGGGAGACATGTTGCTTYTCCTTCTGTRCMTCATGCTTWCCAGTATGTTTCTTTTCWTCTTTATTTTTCTTAGAACGTCCAGGTTTTGATTTGTCTCTAGATTTTTGATACTGATATTTGTAACGTGCTAGGTGGGGTTTATCGCTTGTAAAGCTGTTATGATAGGGTGACTTTTCAAGTGCTTTTATTAATCGATCAAACTCACAGCAAGTCAAAAACGAATCAAGAAAACGTACTCCAAACGGAAGTTTTATTTCTATAAGATAAAAAACATAAGGTAGTTTAGTATCTTCAATCTTCAATAGACTTCTTCAATAGACTTCTTCAGGGTTTCCTGTTTCTTTAAAGAGCAAATGACATGAAAACAGTTTTTTGCCTGTAAAAATACTTTATTTAAATATTCTAATTTTAAATTTTGAGTCTGAAAAAATGTCGCTGAGTTACGGCTATTTTAATTCACATTTTTGGGGCTCATTTTTGTCACCCCTTTAGAATAGACTGGGATCGAGAGTAATACAAACCTGTTTTAACTTGTTTGCCAGGGTGCTAACAAAAAACAATTTAATAAATCAATAACACAAATAATCAAGTATTAAGTGAAGCAAAGCAAGCATAAAAACATAAAAGAATAAATTGGAATATTTTCACACTTAAGAAAGAAAATTTGTATGCATGAAGCTATGTTGAGAAAAATACTTCTGGAGAATTTTCGCATCAAAAGGCCTTCACAAAGACACCTGTATCTGTACCCAAGCAATTAGTACTTACATGAGATTGATTTGGTTTTAACAGCAAGAGTCTCTTCGTGATACTTGTTTCTAATTGTGTACACAAAACACTGAAAGTATAATAATCATCAATTTAATAAGGGCTAATGAAGTCCTTCATTGCAATATACATTGGCTGCTATGATTGGAAAACATAAAAAATAAGGGAAATTAGTTAAGGATTAGAGCTAAATTATAGCTCCTAAGCAAATATTGTTATATCTAGGTCACATTTCACTTGGATCAGGGATTAGGGATAATCTTAATTCTTCATAATTTGTTTCCAAATACTGTACTTTTGATACAATTCTAAAAACATGACGATACAATAGAAATGTCACCATACAATCAAAGAATATTTTTAAATGACTACAATGATACCTTTTTTGATGAAGTATACAGCCGCCAAGAATATGCTGACGACGCTGAGAAGCTTGAAGGATATGAGAGGCTTTGAGGAAACATCTTTGAGATGAATTCTGGTAGATAAAAAATCAAGTTACACTGTATGTAATAGGCGATATGCATTATGGCGTCATTTACTACAACTACCAGAATGCTTTGSCAACTTTCTTTTGTAATGCAATTAGTGCCAATTCTTTTATTAATCTCCAAGGGGATTAAAAATCTGAATAACAATGAAAATGCACAAGGCTCTCTGGTACTTGTAGTAAAGTTACGTCATAATGCAAATGGCCTATTACAAAAAGCACCCAAATCTTAACAGGCTTATTCAACAAAATCAAGAACCTCTTTGTATTAGAAAACAGAATTACCTTAGGAGCTTTAAAGAATGGTAAAGGATTAAATACTGCTGGAAGTGTGTCTCCATAGTGACGAATAAAGTGTATATAGCAATCCCAGATGATTGACATGTTTGACAAGAATGATACATGATCTCTTGATAACTGAAAAGCAAGAAAATTATGATAAAGGCTAAAGAATTTATTAAATTTGGAAGTAGTTGAAAAAGTAACTGCATGTGTGAATCATAAGGGTCTACAAGTGTTACAACTGTAATTGTCAATAGACATACTCAGTATTTATCAACAAACTCATTCTTCCATGATCAAAATGGCTTTTCACAAAAGTYGCTTTGTTCTAACAGCCAATCATCTTCTGGTTGGCACATGAASAARGGCTTACGTCACATTGAGTATTGCTATATTAGCTGGCCCAAAGGTCAAAATAGATGCCCAATTTTGCCAGTTGTCAGCTTCTAATGAAATCCCGAATAAAACAAAATCTTATCTGGATTCACTTTTGCATTATTAATAATTATTGTTAGCATCTATTAGCGTCCTTTTTGAATGACAGAATGCCTGTTGTGCATATTGATGAGACTTTGATTYAGAATTATAAATTATTCACCAGGGTTATATTAATAGTAGTTTGCATGAAGGTTGGATAAAGTAATTCACTCAAAAGATTTTGCATGCTGGATACTTTCTGCTGGATAGGGATTCATCTGATTGATAGCACTATTAGTATTACTGTACAATCCCATACAAATAATAAGAAARCTTCCAAGCCATTTTCTTGATCCATTAGATTGCACTGCAGCTTACCTGACGTACAATGTCAAGGGAACCGTGATAAAAAACAAAAATGTCAAACAGAGTCTTTARCCGTTTAACCAGCAATGTATCGGGTTCAGTCATACTTCCTCCAAGACCCTGGATAAAAACAGCAGAATTAYCAGTTTTTTAAGATTAAAAGAATGCAAACAAACAATGGACACACTTTGCCATTCATGCTGTAAAAGATATGATTTGATATTTAGAAAATAAGACACATTGTACAAGTCCAAAATTTAGCTCAAAGGAGTTTCTTTGTGATCAAAAAAGTTACAATAAGCTAACAAAATGTGGAATTAAAACTACATACCAGGGTATACTGTCCTGCATGATAAAGTGCAACTTTTTCACTCTTCAAATTTACCATAACTGGAGCAAAGTCCAGGACTGATGATAGAAAGTTTGTCATGCCAACAAGTTGCCCACATATGCTGACACGACTCTCAATGCTAGCCTGAAATTACATCCAAATACAATAAAATATATATAATTAAAATTAGAATAAAGGTACCCCAATAGTGCTACCAGACAGCCTCCAAACAACACAAATATTATGCATTCTAAACCACTGCTGCAGTTGCTATCAYGATTTAATGAGCAGTGATAGAAAAGCACTTTAACTAGCCAAAGGGTACTATCTGAAATAAAGACAATTAAGTCCAGGGTCTGCCCCTACAATAAACTGGAGAAGCAAAAATGCTAGCCAAGGGCGGGTTGTACAAAGTGTGAATAAATAAATATATCGAGTTGATAAATGTCAATCCAACAGAAAAAAATCCATATGAAATGTAAGGAATAAATAACTTTACCAACGAACAACTTTATAAATCCTTCATACAAGCGTTACTGATTTGGAAATTAAGGGAGATGATAATTGATTATAATATCAATTGATATATCTGTAACTTACTGAGGCTGGATAAAAATAAATGATGGCATTCTCTGGTGGATCTGATTCATCTGTAACAGCTTCACGATCATAAAGAAAGAATAGTTTGCCATCAAAGCTGAGMAACAAAAATACACAAAATGAATATGTTTATGTGACTATTTGATAAGATAACATCATTCTATAATCAATTAATTATTAATTTATTACTAAAATATATATAGTACAGAAATGCACATTACAAATGATCAAAAATGAAATATCTAGTATTGTGCTGCCATTATCACTATGACCCTGTAACATGCACATATTTTTCATACAGTGAGTATAGAGTGGAAATCCCAGTCAAAAATGGATTCCAAGTGTGTACTCTGACAGATGCACAGATGGCATCAAAATGTGCAAAAAACAACAAAGCACTTTTGCAGACTTTTAACCATGCTTGAATGAATTCTTGCATGCTGATTGGCTGATAAGAGGACTTTGACACCATGACATCTTGGTTGCACTCAAATGCAACGATGGAATCGTAAAAAGTCCCCCACTAAAATTGTCTGAGTGTATGCAAATTCAAATATGAAATGGTTGAAAAGACATTAAATAGTATACATGTATGTGCAAATTCCAGTCACCACGGAGCATAATTTTTATTTGGTAAATGGATACGGGTCTGACATCTTTCGAGAAACACCAGATGAATTAMACRAATGTTTTCAAAATGGCTCCACTCTGAATTCTGAATATAATCAAGCATATATGTAATGTGTGTGTACTTTACTTTAGTTAAATTTCCCATAACTTACTGACCAGAGGGGTCAATAGCAAGTGGTCATGTGTAGGAAATCAAGGCAAGACACACTTAACAAAGTTACTTTGAGGTTATACAAATATAAATAAGCTTAATGTAAAACTATACTCTGTTTATACTGTAAAGCCATACACTGCACGGCAATATGGCTAGTTATGTAATAATTCTATTTAGCAGACTGCAGTAAAACTAACTTTTCAAAAGCTTAAAAGCTTTGTAAGCTTACATTTAGAAACTTATAACCCTATGTTAATATTACGTAAAGAACTTGTTTTGAATATACATCTTATATGTTTTCTRACACTATGTGACACAAAACAACAATCTTACTTATGCAATTCATTTTGTATCGAAAAAATAAAATGATACTGCACGGTTTAGTCTTGTTTATGAATGTAAACTTGTGTGTATGAAACGTTATCTCTGATCCACATGTCGTTACTAAGCTCGAAACAACCAATTCAAGAAACATCTAATCTACCTCAGATCACGACGAGAAGCCATGTTAAAATAGCTACTTCTTCTTCGTCTCCAGGCATGTACAATTCTTTACAAAAACACGTMTTACAACTCTCCAAGGCATAGTTTTTGACTAYATATGCTTCCACTTTCACTGTTCGTCACGTTTTGAGTCACAAGTCACGAGATGTTTTTTGTAMATTGAGCAACCAAGCCTGTCTACAATATGATGAGGGACTGGGAACCATTATGTTTTCCCGCCATTTGACATTTCTGCGCAAGGTTTGAATAGGTTTTTTTTTTTATTTTCGGTATTATAAGAACCTGGTCTTTCATAATCTTGTTCAGGGCCAACTAAAAAAATTAAAAAATATACAAGTCRCATTCATCGAAGCGCAGATTATATTTGCAATGTAAAAGATAGCAATATTATTTTTCTTATTTTTGATATATGATATATGACACTATCATCTCGATCTTCTCGAACAACAGTGAGTTCCTGATGGGGGCCAGTTGGGAATGCTGAATGTTATAAAATAAAAACAATATACAAGAATACACGGGATATAGGACAAAAAACTGTAGGGGCACTAGATATTGAACGTCAACAAAAATAGGGCGAATACGCTTCATTTGTCGACTAGGAGTAAGTTTTTTTGCTACTAGAATGTTTGCTTAGAATAGTCATTATTTCACAGAAATGAATAAAAACTGTCAAAACCGTCCATAAATAAGAAGTTCAGTCATCTTAMGCGGCTGATTTTAAAGTGGTATTTTATAGTTTTTAATGCCTAAATTTATGTTTCAGTAATAAAAAACTGTAGGGAATACAAAACAAAACAAAACCAAAAAAAAAGTGATTTGATACTTTGAAAAACATTAGTAGGTTACGGGATAACTGGCCCCCTAAATGGGTCTTAACAGTATTGCAATAGCAACARGCACATTTACTGCAGCGTTGATCTCATCACATCTGCGTTTTCAGTTCATGGCTAACTAGTTTTCCTACAGGCATATTAACCTAATAGAGGATATAACATGGGCGCGCAGAGATACGTCTTTCAGGAGATACATCTTCTAGTGTTCTGAGGCTCACGAGTACCACTCAGTCGGACTGAGCGAAGCGAAAACGAGAAGACAAAATACATATTTCCAATTCAAGCGACCTTGTAATGTTATGTTTATCATTTAGACCTCTAAGTCAAGAAATTTGTATGGACGTTGTATTTTTTGGAGTATCTATGCCAAAGTATTAATTGAAATAATTTTTTTGTTGTTTACACGTAAATCTAAGATATCACTTCTTTCACACCAGAGATTTCATTGAAGTTATATGATACTATAGAAGTATTGATTCGACACTGCAGAGTAGAGTGTGCRTTTGAAAGCCTATTTCTCTACTACACCTGTATTAAAAGGCGTGAATGGACGCTTATCAATTCAAGGTGATAACGAGCSGATTACGATCTGACGATAGGTTCTTTGGGTCATCAACTGACCATGAGGCTTCAGAAAACTACGTTAGACCCATACTCAAGAACTGATAAAGTCGTATTAATAGAAWATATTACTTGTCTATAAATAATACCAATAACAAAGCGCACTTGTCCTCTTACATAGGGTTAATGCGTTTTATATTACCTCTTCTCTCTYCTTCTTTCGCCCTCTGCTAACTATGGTTCTTATTGTACTACTGTAAGTAGGTCAAATTACAATTTTAAACTTTTATCACAAATGAATATTGATTGGTTGTATTTTAATTTCATTCTAACAAAAAGGGATATCAAAACATAAGAACCGGCGTTAAATATATACGCGGTATCTGTATTGGATATTACATTTTGTTACCAGGCTGGCGTGCGCGTTTGTTCGTTTGAATTCAGTATTCTTGGTCGCACGCGTCAATTTTGGATTTCCCGCCTTTTTTTACGTCTTACTAGATCATCAGAGTTAGCAGACTAGATGAAATATAATATAACTGCATTGCTATGACCAAACGTATTATTTATAAGCAAATTTTTACACAGCTCACAAAGTCTGTCAAAAACAATCTAGTATAAACAATATTTCTTGAAATGGTCATAGTCACCATTTCACCAATGACTTCAGCGCAGAAAGTATAGGTTTGATTTTTCCGAATTAAGTTTGAAACAAAAGAGATTGAACTGTTCGCCGCCTACATGATACCTGCAGTTTTGACTTTGTACAAATTTACGGCTTTAGCGCGCTTCGTTCCTCAGTAAATCTAAGCATTCGACTTGTGGMTTCCTCGAACTTGTCTTCTTTCGAATTATTCTGGGCATAAAGTTATTGTTGTGTGTGAAAAAGCCTGTTCTCATTAGAAGGTAGTTCCGATACCTTTTAACCTCCTAAAATAGCCCTTCATTTGAAGATTTTTTTGTCCAAAAAAAAATTTCAGCACGTGGAAAATTGATGGCCACATAGCTACCGGCAACATGAAAATCTATTATTAGTGGTTATCGTAGATCAGCCTTGCGGGTCACATAACTTCCTTGTTTTACCTTTTATCAGATGCGAAAGTATCTGAAATTTAATTTTGCGCAAAGCACTGAATACAATACAAAAATCTAACTTCCCGAGGGCTGTAATTTCATTGGCTTTTTGACTCACCTTCAAAGAGTCAAAAGGGATTAAAGAAGATTACTCATAATTCAACAACATCCCAATTCTTATCGTCTGTGCGCTTTGTACATTTTTGAAGTACATACTTGAGGGAGGTACTTTTTAATTAACGACAAAAAATAATTAGATATATGCCCAAATTCTGCGACYTCAAGAGCAGTGAAAAAGGGGTGAACTTAGTGAAGGTCATCGGCGTAGTAACGGGTTTTTTTTCTTCTCTTTTTTGTTTGTTTACTCAGTTGTTTTTTTGTTTACTATGGTTTGTCGATACGTAATTACAAGCTGGTGTGGTTTGGTGGATCAAAGACAGTCATTGAGTATTTTGGTCTTGAAGCTTAGGATATTATATAATTATTTCAAGAGATAAGTAACACTGAACGGATTAATTTTTGACGAGCATTTCGATATTGGACTGTACCTAGAGCATTATATACACAAGTTAGCACTAGGGACAACAATTGAAACGTAGAGTAATCAATCATTTCCGAACACGCGGTGATGTTGTAGAACACGACGCAGGCAGTAAAAATCACGGAATGTTCTGCAATTTTCCGATAAACCATGACAGTTCATTCTTTATTTCTTCTCTMAAGATGGCTTGTTGAGAGCGTGCTTTGATCAGTCAAATGCTAGTGACCAATCAGAGCGCGCGCAAATAGAAATGCCACTATTATAATAACTTTTTTTTCAAAAAAAAATTGATAGAAAATGTGTTGATTTCTCGAATGATTAAAAAATCATCAAGTCGTTTTGTGTYAGTATATATCCGCGATATTTAAGATTGTTGGTATGTTCGGGCTCATAAAGCGTGTATTGTCAACTAACAACGTAAAATAGTCCAATCCAATATTACCCTAAAAATGAATGATGAACTTCTTAAATTTTTTTCCCCAATCCTAAGTGTTCCTCTGGGCTAGAAAAAAGARAAAAGCATGTGTCATAGCCTTTGGGGGTTTTCGATGCATCGTTTGTAAGATCAGCATGTAAATACTTCCCACAAATCTCGTAGGACATGGCAGTTGACAAAAGAATTTACTGAATATTAATTAATCGTTTCCGGTACAAACTACATCAATAACTTACYACACAAAAGATAAGAGCACATCTCATTACTTAGAAAGCATCGATAAATACTCTGACGAGCATAGCATTCCCCGTTATTTTCGTTTCTCTAACTGTCTTGGAAGATAGAATAGCTCACAACTAACTCTACAAGTAAGTYATGTCTCCGCCATAATCACGTGATCTTTAGTTTCTCGCAATTTTTCTGGCTTAGGGCGCAGTTCAAATTGAACAATTTGTACAGTAGTTCTAATGGATACTTCTTCTTATTGATTCGTTAAATTGACGTATTTCGTGGTCCAGAAAGCAATTTTTTTTTCTGGTGAAATGAGTCAATTGTGCGAGACAATTCATACGATTTCTAAGAGAATGCATGCATTTAAGACTTTTAGGAGCCAGTTTTGCTTTAGGCTACCAGGAAATGTTTCGTCTTTATAGAGATTAGTGGTCAGAGGCAAAAAAATGTAATTTATAGAGTATAGCAATTTTTTTTAAAGAAAGTTTTCAATAAATCATATAAGAAAAGAACAATACAAAACTTGTCAAAACAACGTCAAACTTATACAATATAAAATTGAGATTTTGAGAGCAGTCCTCAACGTGACAATAATGCCTTTGGTTTGTAGGTTTGTAGTTGATAAGATAGTAGATCAGTTGCTCTTCTAATACTGGTGTTTTCCTGTTTTTATTCTAACCTATTCGTTCTRACCGATCATTGAATACGATAAGGGAAAGAGGTCGAAACAGATTTAATGACATTTTAAATTAAATAAAAYTAAATGGTATTTTACTGAAATAGAATTACATTCTCTTGGTTGCGCGTTCTTAATTACARCTTTTCTGGTTGTAGCTTCTAATATTTAAATAAAAAACTCTTATTTTGCTTGAGAAGAGCTTGTACACGCCGACATTTCWYGGAGTGACGCATGTCGCTTATTSGGTTTAAATCTCCCTTTCCGACGGTCAAAGCGCRCTACATATCCCGAAACAATCCACCTACAGATAACGGAAGTTTTGTACTAATTGTGAACGCGAAACATCTTTGGGTTTCAGCGCTGATGGTATCCGGGATAAGTTCAGACGTTAAGCAGTTTTCGCCATGTTAACGCCCAAAAATACTATGAGTATTTGAAGAATCATTTAACTGAATACGACTAAAAAATTCCCTTTAAATTCTCCTTAGTTATACTGTTGTCAGTTCTGACTTTAATTGTCTTCTTCAGTCATCTTTTAGTAGAAAAAGTCTCAAGAATTTAAAAATTGTAAACAATAGCYTATTTATTCCTTTTTTTATTCCTGACAATATTATTTCATTTTCCACAGTCAAAACATATCACCAGCAAGACTCAAGCGTTCATTAGACGAGTCTTTTCTTCGTGTGCGGGTAATGATTATAATATGAAAACTGTTCTCTGGATATTCTGCACTGTCATAGCGTGACAAACGAACAACACAAGGGGCGTGATGAATGTTCGTTGTAAGAATCATTAAACGCATCTGTTTGTATGGCCACTCATCATTCAAGTTACACAGTACTCGATCCTCCTTGACAAACTTGTTGTGATCTGCATACGTGCTTACGGCTAGCACTTCAGATAGTTAACTTCGTTTTCCCCAAGAACGCTTTCCATTTGTCAGAACTGACTGATCAGACGCAAAGAGAATGCCATTATTAATTGGTTCAGTCAGAACAATTCATTTTTACATTCATTATTGTAATTGGAAACTTTCTGAGAATTTCTTAATGAAAGAATTGACACTAAGACACTATTTATTTCTAAAAGGACTTGGATTTAGCCACCGTTCTGTCTAAATGGAAAGCCTCACCCTTATTGATCAGAAGTACACTTATCAAAATATCGGCAAAAAAATAACAATGATAAGCTYTATATTACGTGCRAGARTTACGTCATACAAAAAWTCTTCAMCTTGTCGCACATGGTGAACAACGAGAAATATCCTTGCTTGAAGAACAACGCCATGTTTCCGAGCTTTTTTGCATTTCGCATTTCTTAGAMTATATAGATTAATATTTGAGACATAATTTGTTCTAGATGTTACTTTATTGTTTGTTTTGATTACTTTGTGTATTGTCAAGTGCTCGCCGGGAAACTTTTATAACTTTTTATACCTACACATTTTCCCAAAAATTCTCAGCTTTGTTGCTGTTCAAAGTTTAGCGTCGATGTTTCTCTTTTTTTCACCTGACTGAGCTCTGGCAACTTGTCGTCACAAGAAAATTTAAACAGTCTATGAAAGCTAGGAACGGCACTGAAGCTTGAGCTTGGACAGCAACGATGTTGCAAGACAAGCTGTGTGTGCGGATCGCATCCACACGTCTCCGACAGTTACTGTGTGTATTTAAGGTGGAAAATGTTTCATATGAGCATTCAATTCTTCGGCGGTAATACTCCAATTTCGAGTTCTGGTTTGCTCTGTGTTAGCCTCATAACCAAGCAACAACATATTCTAAAATCTTTTGTTTCACGGATAGCCCGAGAAAACATATGGAATTTGTGAAGAAAGACAACCTCAAATTGATATAAAATCTCACACTTTTTACGCTCACAATTAAATGAATATTTTGCGCACAAATGAGGATACCGCACAGAGAATTGGAGAATTTGAAACTGGAGTATTTTTGGAGACGCTCTTTAGGATTGTACCCACCTGAAAATGCTCCGAATGCGGTTACGCACGGACGCGAAAATTCAGAAAAAGAAAGTGTGGATACTACAAAGATTACAGGCATTTGTGTGGACTGATTGAATTGCAATACTGGAGAGAAATTTATTTAGTCAACGTACTCTTCTGATCTGTTTCCGATATATGCTATAGTGTATTTACTTTCAACTTCGCATTTTCAGTGATTTTATTTCGGTGTTACTTGTCATTTACTAAAAATATTGATAAACGAACTGCATGAAATATGTCACGAGAACCGCTTCCAGGTCGTTATATCGTTCAGTGCCCCAAGCGCGACCCCCAGGACGACCGGCGGATATCTCGATAACTTTGAGATTTCGTTGTTTTCACTGATTTCTTATCCAATGCGGGCRGAGTAGATTATGTGGCGTATTTCCGCTCTTGAATTTTGAATAGTTTAGAATTGTCATATTATAAGAAAAGAAAACGCATCATTTTTATATAAGTTTATAGTAACTACTTTACTCTTTCCGTTCAGTGTCAGTATGAACTACAGAGGGTTTCTACTTTGTTATGTTGTCATCATTGCTGTCGCCAAATCAATGCCAAGTGACTACCATAAACAACTTACACAACGATGGCAACTCAGGGATGTTGTAAGTACAAGAATCATRAATATTTCACAATGCGCAATTTGCGTTAAACCGTTATGTTCAAATGACCAACGCGGGTCCATGAACCAGATGAACCCTTGTGCGATTTCAACATACGAAAATTTACCTTCTTTGGTTTTGAACCAATCAGGAAAGTAGCTGTTTCAACAAGGGATCTGATTTGTGAAACAAAAGCAAACAATCGCATAGGTCCTTGGTTGGACATGGAACTTTTACAGGCGTAAAATTTTTATACGTAAAATAATTATCGATATATTCAGCATATTTTAAGTAGTCTTTTATCGCGCTAAAATGCCATTTATAAAAACGAAATAAAGATCCAATTGAGCACATCATTAGAGACTGATAAAAATGAAAAGTTTAAAGACTATAATGCTATTAAATTGACGAAAATATGGATTCATATTGTCTTCATGTGTCATGAAAACGAGGCTCATCGGGCATGGATTGCCACCTACACTTCTTTCAGAGTAAAAAGAAACATAAATTTTAAAATTCGTATCTTCGCTAATTCAAGTTCTATTTGTTTGAAACTTGACATAAATCGAGCTTTCTAAATTCATGCTAGCGTGATAATCGTACATTTATCCCACATAGAAAAGCTAGGGCCAATAAAGTTCAACTTTCAAACCCAGAGAGGACTTACGTTTCGATTACGTTTTCAATGCTGATGCCACATCGACTTTCTAGAAAAGTCACTCATGATTTTACCTCTACGTATATTTATTACCATATGAGCTTGCCAAAATAAGTTTTGCTTTAATATTGCATTGCMAGTTTGATTATGATAGAAATTTCCACGATCCTTGGCAAATCTTTCCTTTCATRTATTGATATATGATCATTTTCTCTTGGATGTTAAGAATTGATCAATTTATATTCTAATGTAAGTTTTAGATTTTTATTGCAAATTTCATTTTAATTAAAATGTATTAATAGAATCCGCTTGTTGGAAATAAAATATTTATTATTATTATTATTTTTCTGATAAGTAAATATTTTATTTTATAGTTTAAAAGGGACGAAATAGATCCATGTTCTTTAGTAGGAGATGACTGTTCAACCAACGAAAGTCATTGCACAGGATACTGTGACGGACAAGCAGTTATATGTTATCAAGGGGACTACACTTGCAGCGTTGTAGGTAACAACCTCGGTGCTCCTTATAAAAGAAGAAAAGACAATCCTAACTAAGCAGACACAAAAATAAAATTTAAAATGCAAATGATCTCTATTTTTTTACTACCGTTTGCTCTGCCTTAGTGCAAATAATCAATATGCTACATTGGAGTGTGACAATTGCTCGTTTTCAACTATTCCCATGAGCTAATTCAAATCATCAAACCGCCGGCCATGATCCTTCAAAAATGTTCATTGCCAAAGCTCCCAAAGACGTCCGCTGTGACGCACAATGAAAACAAAGAATGCCTGGTAGGTAGACAACTAGCGACAGGGACCGCGGAGTGTGAATTTGTTTGGGGGGGCTATCGGCAAGGAGGTATTAGGGGGGTTCGGAAATTTTTGAAATCTTGACTCTCGGAAATGGCATTTCCAGCGTTTTGAGGCGTTATCAATTTTTACCGCACACACGGTCAGCGATTATCAATAAATCACAAAGACTTCCCAAAACAGCTTCAATTTTAATTGTTCACGYTCAGTTTTTACACAATTTTTATAGAATATATATGGTGAAATTTCAYAAGGAGGCTCTTCGCTTCTTTATTTAAGAAAATTCAAAATGTCGGAAAAATTATTGGGGGGCTGGGGGGCTGCAACCTGCTCCGCGGCCCATGAGCGATAAACCAATTCTACAACCACATAACCAGGAATCCCCTGAGAAAACRGAACAAAGCTATTGCCGCCATGTTGGATGAATGAACAAGWGAAACTAACAAACTGATGAGGAGTGCTTTGTGGTCTTCATCCAACATGTCGGTGATGACGTAACATGCATGCCAAGGAGAGTTATATTCGAAGCCGGAAATTAGTTACAAGGTATACGATACCCTGCCCGCTGTTAAAAACCACATAAAACCACTTTGGAAAATATTAGTGTATGAGTTCCGAAAATAGATCGAGTTAAGTTTGCACAAGCCTACTTGTAAATGATAATCCAATCATTGACAGATGTCCAATCCTAATGAGGTATGTATTGGCGACGTAACTCGTTATCACAATATGATATAAACTAGACTTTTTAAAGACTTTTAAACACTGCTGTAGTTGATAAGTAGACATAAGACTTGTACCAGGTCYCTGATTTCCAAATAGAGGACATTTTACCAAACTGTCGGGAAATAGCGTTAAAATCTTAAAATCAAGAATACATCCTATCCAAAAAGTTAAGGGAAGATTTTCCAAAAAAAAAAAAATCACTTGCACTTTGAACAGAACTACAACAACTGCACCTTTTCTGTCACTGTTATTTTTGAAAGTACTTTCAGTGAAATCCCATCTTTTCTTATTTGTGTATCAAGTAACAATAATTGAAGGACATCTTGTTGGAGTGTACAGGATTTTCACCAGGATATGTTGCTATGTTTTTTCATTCTATTTATTATTTGCAAGTAAAGTTTGCCAGAAAAATCATGCTCTTTTTGGACACATAAAGATGYAGTTACCTGTTTCCCTGGAAGATGATTATAACTACATAACATTACATAATTTGCAGTACTAGCTAATGCTTACTTGCTTAATTCAAACTAGCGAGACAAACAACATTATGACAGTAGAGGAAATGGATCAATGGATATTTCTGCCAACTTCAAAAAGGTTTGAAACCTCAGASTCTGATGCAGTACCTTTTAATTTAACGAAAAGATTCAAGGAGTTTTCAAGGACTATAGTATTAAAAAATCAATTCTTATTTGTGCTAAAACTAGCTTTATTTAGCTCTTTTATCTAGACATTTCAAGGAGTTTCAAGGATGTTTCTCCCGTTTTTCAATTTTCCAATATTTGATAATGCATTTTAAATCCCAGCACTTCKCAAGAGAAACCTTTTGAAACCTCACTTCATTATCAAGAAAGAAAACTATTTAGARTGTTTTTGCTTCCTCTACCAAATCGACCTCTCTTCTTAACTTTGTCCTTGAGATTTCATATACTGGAACACACTGCAACTGATTTCCATGATTTTGAGCTATGGATTTCTGTTGGTCTCAAATCTTAATAAGCAAACATAAGACAAATAAAGTTTCTCCAAACCACAAATTCTTTAATATACAGAATCAGAATAGCAATAGTTGATTGATTTTCTCATATTAAAATTCATGAAACTTCAACCCCAAAACAGAAAAGAGAAAAKTCATGATAAACACTTTAAGACAGGAGAAAATCTGACACTACTTGCAAGATAGTATRATTAGTCAAGCCTTCTGAATACAAATTACTTAAAATCCTCTAAAAGCCAMTACAATCAACCAARAAATAATAGGAAACAGTGTCCACTTTGCATTTCATCCAAATGTGCCAGCATCTTCATGAATTTCTTCTGCAAAGTTGAATACATCCAGTTTAATGGTCACTTGGGCGTCTGCCCTTGTAACTGATTCATAAGTTTTTCATCTTGCATGGACATGGCTGTTAATTTTTTCCCAATTCTATYGTGAATTTCCAAATACTTTGCAACACATCTATCCAGACATACTGATTCACCTTTTGTTAGATCACCTTCTTTGTATTTAACAGATATACACTTTTTGTGGCATGCTGTTGTGAGCCTAAAAATTGAAAAAATAGAAATAGAAATAAGTAATTATAATTCAAAACGAGATAACAATATCAATAATAAATAATGATGTATGATTGAGACCCAAGAACCCCCCCCCCCCCCCCCCCCCCTCCCCAACACACACGCCATCTTATTTATCTCAACCCCTGCACTTTGCATACAAATGATTTACTGTACCTACACAGTGACAAAGCTTTTAAAAACACTATCCCTCCACACCCCTTCATCCTCAAAGCTTTCAGAAAACGGACAACATCCTTCTAAATGAGGCAGGAGTTTGGTTATGTGAAACTGCCATTTATAAGCATACGAAGTATAAATAAAGCATTAAGAACTGATTCTRATGCAATCAAATCTTACATCAAGGCAAAAAATTGGATTCTTTTTCTCTAAGTTCAACTGAACTTAAGTACAAAACTCACCTATTGTACAAGTCTGTCATCATTTCTATTTCTAGATTCTGCACCATCTCTACTTTTGCTTGATCCATGGCCATCTTATTAACTGCCTCGGAGGCAAGAAGAAGTTCCCTGTAATGMGTTTTCCCCGGCCTTATTCACACGTGCTTTATCACTACACTTTCCGCCATCTTGATTCCTCTTTTTGTGAAAATACCGCTGGCCTGWAATTTTCCACAGGAAGCCCACGACTGGAACGCAAATTAATTTTAGAGATTMTGATTTTTCTTTTAAAATCTTTATAAGAAGTTAGAAAACGTAAAAAAATGGAAAATTCCTAACACAAAGTGTACAGCAGAATATGCAGCGTCATTTCCCAAGGCATTTTAGGAGGACAAACTTTGCAAAGTAAAAAGATTTAGATTTTTAAATAGTTTTATTTTCTCTCGAGTTCAAAGGCTGCGATTCAAAGTAATTGATATAAGATAATCGCTGCATCACTCTGATTGGTGCTGACCATGTGTACCGCACAATGCTATTGTTCTTGAATGCRCGCTTGTCATTATCATTCTTCGGCCGCTGTGTATCGAAACTTTACGTCACAAGATTGGACCAGGCGCGCAGTTTATCATCACAGACTCGAGGCGCAATGGATGGAAACAAACGTCGTACATCTGACACAACGATTCTCCAAGAAACCCAAGTTCTTGCCAGACTTCTTAAAATCAAAGATACGAAATTATCAAATGCTATTCTCAAGCAAAATGTTCGCGAACAAAACAAGCTTGGAAGTCAACTTGATGTAATATCGCAACATCAAAAGAAATACCAGTTTGACTTAACGTGGAAAAAACAACTTCTTCTGAAAAAGCAAAAAGATTTGATGGTGAAGAGTAAATCGATAGCATCTCTATCTATTCCTGCTGTGACGCCAAGTCGCTGTGGCATGCTTCCGCCAATTGAACAAAAAGAAGAAAGAGCTACTCCGTCTACAGTATCGACGCACTCCAAAAACTTCGACAACAATAACAGTATGACGATGGAGCCCACAATTCAAGTAAGGATAACTCATAAAACCGCAACAAAAACTGTGGAATGTAATTCAAATTCAGATGGAAAACRTGTGTCTTTTTCAAAAGACACGTCTAATGAAAGAGCACTGCTACGATGGAGGAATGCGATAAACAAAGCTAGAAAACATGCGCGCAAACCAATTTTACTAAGTCCTCTTTTACGCGATGGGAGGTACTTCAACAGTGATGGGACGAAGGATCCAAGGTTTGCGCGCCTTGTTGAACAATTAGTTCCAAATATTGGACGTAAACACAGCGAGAAAGACGATGTTTCAGATGACGAAGACAATTCATCCTCTGTTGATTCTTTATAAAGAATTTAGATTAGCTAGAGCCAAAGCTAGTGGRTAATGAACTATTGTGTTGAGTTATTGACAACTACAATTAAGTTKTATAACATCAATGAAAACGTCTTTGTTCTTTGTTTTGCTAAGCTTGGTGAGCAATTAGCTATACAAATTCAGCGTTTGGTCACTAATAACGGTATTATTTACTAAATACACTTTTATGGTCAAAGGACTCATTTGGATTTGCATATCCATGAAAACACAGAGAGTAGAAAATCTATTTACGTTGACGTATGTATTTTACTTTTAATTTTAAGTGAATGAAAGTTGGAAGTTGCATGAAACSTAACTGAGAAACTGAAAAAACACACGTGCAAGTTTTGTTGCCATACTGACATTTAGATCAAAAGTCGATACTTTATACCAAGCTTTTGACCATACCATTGATTACATCTACAAACATTTTGCTAGTTCTTTATTTTAGCGTTGGCTATGTTCTCGACTTTAGTCGCATATCTAAAGATAGAGAAGGYTTTTCAACCCGTGTGTTTATTTTCCGTTGCCCATTTCAGTCCATTCCAAAGAAGCCCAAAACCGAAACGGAAAAATCATGACGTCCGGAAMGTCACCAGCGACAGCGACCTACTTCAATTATTAAGAAAAAAGACATATTAGAAGATGTCTGGTTAACTCGCTTATTTGGAAAGACAAAAAGGTGTAATTAATTCTACTATGTCTTGTCCAATATTTTTCGAGAAAATAATAAACCTTCAACTGCTGTTCTTGCAAATCTCGTAGCATTTGTCATTTTGTCTTGAATTTCATGCACACACAATCGATTATTACAATGGAGACTGGGAAAACTAACATCAAGGCAGTTATTGCTTTTAATGCTGTATTAAAAGATTTCAGTGACAAGTCAAGAAGAACAGCGGCAGTTAAATGGTCTGATAAGTCCTCATTATTCTTGAACATTCACAGGAACATTAYATGTTATGGTAAAGAGTTGCGCATATCCACAAGAAGTGGCCACAACATTCTAAGTTCCTCTTGTGCCTGCTGTATTTCATCTTCAGATTTATTTTGAGCAAAAAGAAACGCGGACAAAGCATCAATAGTTTGAAATAAACTACCAACATTTTCTTTAATTGATTCAGAGGACACTTGTTCGTAAAGAAGATGATTTTGTCCTGATAGACACGTTTTCTCCTCATTATATGTTTTAGTTGACGCAGCATCTTCGCTAACAGACGAAGGACAAGTAGTTGTTAYTGAATTACCGCTTCTCTCTTCAGATTGCACCTTTTCATCTGAAACTTCGCTTTCAGTAACTTTGTCGTGAGAAGGTGACCATGTTGCTATAATGGGCCAAAGAATTCCTAGCTGATGTTTTACTTTGAGAATTTCAGCTTCACTTTTTCTCTGGGCAAACGAAGAGTTTGCAACCTCYTGGATTTTGCTTAGAAAACTATTCAGGACATCTTTGATGGCTTCATTGGAGCTAAGCGCAAATTGGTCATACTCATGTTCGTTGCGGTTAGCCAGTGGCTCAAACATTTCTTCTGAAGAACGGTAAATGCTAAACAATTCGCCGTCACTAATATYTTCAGAATTTTGCAGAGAAGAAGACGAGGAAACAGTAGAACTATCACATCTCGTCACGCTGTTGCTTCTGAAGATTTCTTTTTGCGCAGACTTGATGACATGATCAACTAGACTCCTTGCCGTGAGAAGAAGTTGTTCCTGGTCGTGGTCGACAATATCAGTGASAGATTTTTGTTCATGGATCTTGGTTTCAACTGCCAATTCCAAGGCTGACTGACAATCWATAGGTGYAGYCGRTAGTTGTTTTGCTTCCAAATTTTCTGCCTTGATTACTGCTTGAGCATATTGAATTGCACTATTTACCATWATTGTTGCTACATAATCAATTGCTGTACTTTGTTGTTGTTCGTTTTCAGCTACTAATGTGGCTTTAGCAGATTTAATCACGTCAMAAACGAGGCCCCTCGCGGCAAAAAYCAATTCGCTTTCTTTCTTTTCATTTTCAGCAATAACTATCGCTTTGGCAGATTGAATTGCATCCTCAACAAGTGCYTTTGCAACAAACGATGTGGCGATTTGTTCTTTTTCAATATTTTCAGTAATTACTGTTGCTTTTGCAGATTGAATAGCCCCATCAACGAGAGCCTTAGCAACAAAAGCTATGACAACCTTTTCTTTTTCAAAATTTTGTGTCATAAGTATTTCTTTTGCCGACATAATTGCATGCTCCACAAGCTTTCTAGATGCAAAAACTACGTCATTTTCCATGTTTTGGYTTTCTCTTGTAATTCTCTCCTCCTCTGTAATTGTTTTCTTTGCCATCTCAATGGCGTCATTAACCAAGGTACTGGCGATCTTTTCCAAGATGAAGTCTTCGTCCTTTTTGGCCTCTGTTTCAAGAAGAGCGATTTGAAGTTCCAGGCTGATGTTGACGGCTTCGGCATTTTCTTTCGGAATGCGCTTTTCGACTGCTCTTTTCACTGCAGCGACAGCCAAGTTACAATCCGGATGGACAAAATGAGTAGCTGTTGTGTCCTCGTTTTCCTACAATGAATTAAAATTAATGTTATCATCAGATATACGGTGATTTTTTGAATATGATATATAATATGGATATTTACTTTGTATCTTTGGTACAGATGATAACCAGTAAAAGCAATACCACCAACAACAAAACCGCTAATCACGCAATTTTTCACCGACAGCATTACTAACTTTGATTTGCATCTATTGATGTCATATGTCAGCATTGAATTGTGACGTCACAATCACACGAGCAGCCATTACATTAGAACTGTTTATTGGGACGCATGTAAGGTGATAATGGATGTGATCAAGTACAATTTCAAAAATGATAATCTGCTTGGCCATCAATCATTTGGTGTATGATGGTGGGAACTAGCGTTAAACTAGTGTGAGCTGCGTCGTTTTTCTAAAGAAACAGTTTGTGTTATAAAAGATAAATTTAACACTGTAAAAAAAGTGTGTAGTTCAAGTTACAGAAATACTGTATATACTGTGGGTTGTGGATTGCCTAATATACAATTTTAACAATAATAATTTTCCTCCATAAATGGCCACTTTAATCATGTTTTTAAAATTTAACACGAAGAACTGGTTCTTGATTGCGCACTGCGCAAAATTACACCTATCGACGTGTTCCCATAGTAACAAGTGGAAAGTGCCACCTTAAAAATCAAACCACGTGACGTGTGTTTTTGACGTCGTCCAAGATGGCGGCAGTGGCCGTGCAGGCTGCTGCAAGTGGACGACCTTCAAAGCGAAAATCTCGYCGCGCTTTAGCTCAGTCATTTCTCTCTAACATATCACTTGATGGAAATATTACTAGTGAAACAACTGGTTCTTGTTCAGAGCCAAATACGCCTATACGAGAAAGACARAGATCGGTAAACGTCGAAGAATCTGGGGATAATGTGACCCGACCTTTGCAAGACTATAATGTTGGCTCGTCAGCTAAACCTAAATTCATGCACTCGATCTCGGAATCAGCTGCCAGCTTCGAAAAGGATAAATTAAGAACGTTTAGTACACTTGGTGCAAGAGAAATGAAAACTTTGAAAGCGCATGATTCGCTACATCGTCGTAGTCACTCGCTGACCGAGTCAACTCTGACTGACTGTTCTAGCAGTAGCTCAAGTTTTTCAGGATTTCTTCATTACGGCAAAGGAGCAACAAGGCATAAGATTAGTTGCATGACTGGATCGTCGTTTAAAAACCGGAGAAGATTGACAGATAAAAGGTAYGTTTATGATTTTATGGGAAATTTATTTTGAATGTGTGCCAGCTGAACATTTAGTGTGACGTATAAATTAGGTACTTTTCCAATTTTAAACTAATTTTCTTTTTCAGGCAAAAAAATGGTTTTCAATTAAATATCTATTAAACATATGCCTTGAAACTTTAAATATAATTCAAGCACTTTTGTTCAGCTTTCGCCATTTTCAGTTATTCTTAAAAGCAGTTCCAACAGTTTTGTTCTTTCTTTTGATATTTTTATTACGTTTATGTCATGTAATATTCATGACAGAAATTACTGTAGAAACTTTCTTTTATAACAGAAGCTTACCAGAAATAGCATCACCACGAAAAATATTATTTCATTATAGAAATTCTTTTTTCTTGAATTTGGTGCTGATGAAATTAATTTTTTGAATTTTCCAAAAATAGGTCATGCAAGAAAACTTTATTTTTAGAACTAAAAGGTTTTATTAGGAAATATTAGTGATAATACATTTTTGGATAAGGCTGTTGTACATATATATGAAATAATCAAGGTTGAGGCTAGAGTTGAGGCTAGATAAAATCTTATACCCATTCAGTTGGCATGAACATGTAACCTAGTTATGCAAGCTCCATGTTGTYTGTTTGAGTGCCAGTATATCCCACATTGTATATTGCAACATATATTCAAATTATGTGTTTTTCTAATTTTATTTTAGAATTGTTGTGTGTTCATCACGTAAGGTCCCCTTCCTTACATATTCTGTTCTAAAGTACCACAAGGAAGGAAGAGAACATGGTGCTGAAGGATCAGGGTATGTACTAAATTACTTCAGCTCTCTTCTTATTTCTTAATAATACCTAATGATTGGTTGTGTATTTTCAAGGAAAAAAAGGGCATCTGCACCAAATGCACACAGTATATGTATTGAAGGGGTGGAAATAGGCACMGGAGATAAGGTAAAAACGATATAAMAACATTAAGTATGRTTTACAAGTGGGTGTATTGTATGGTAATAACAATCTTAAGCCACATACCAATGATTTTATTTAATTGATAATTACTGAGGCACACAGCATTTGTAGGTATAATGCAGGCAGCTGAGCTGCATTATACCTACGAATGCTGTGTGCCGAAGTAATTATYTAGTATRATTACTGATCTTATCAAAATCCAGTTGTTTTCTTTCTTGCTTACTTGTTTATCATAGGCGGCAATGCCAATAATGAAAGTTTAAACGAACTTCGAACTAGAGTTTTTTTAAGTCGTGAATTTATTTATGTGAACACAATAACTTAATACATGTTTTGAAGCAGATAGCAATATTTTAAATATTGCAGCTGGCCAACCTGTTTCTGTCTGCATTTGTTGGTCTAATAATGCAGATGGAAAACAATGGGTTACAATCGATATCAGTAATTTTTTTATTGATAAACCTTTTCAGACTTCTTTACTTCAAGTTTATTGTGCTGTTTAGTGATTTTAAGTGCTTTTTGTAGACTGTGTCCTATAGTTCGCTGCTTGTTCCATCCTACTACATTATGGTGAAAAGTGGTGAGAAGTCTGATGGGTACACTCCCTACAGCCCAAGACATGGTAATAGTTTGCACAATAAACCTGAATATTACTCACTCATAATTCATCATTCAAGCAATAATTGCATAATCATCAATAAATGCCTTCATCAAATCATCGCCAGACAGTATGTTCTTGAATACTCTGCTTTTTATTCAAGATGGTGAATGTGTATTTTTAGATACTGTCTTTGAAGAGTTCAGTTTCAACTGTGCAGCTGCCAGTAGTGATTATGAGCCRTATATCTTGGATGATCCTGAACTGATGTCAGGCAAGCATAGGACTGTACTTCAGCTGAGCTCATACATGGTATGTAAGCTTCATATAATCAAGKACAACAAAAATACAACAAAAAGTAGTTTTCAAGATTGGTTTTTAGATTATAGCTTGCATAGCACTTGGTATTAACACTGCAAATCTTGCACTGTCAATGATTGAAAATAATGATCAATGTGGTATGTAATCCAAGCAGATTTTAGCAAGACAACACTACATGTATCAATTTACTGTATTCCACAGGTATCAGTAACAGCCTATGCAAAGCCTTCTGAACTCAAAAAGGATTTAAATGAAAGATTTAAAGAGAAGTTTCCTCACATTGCTATTACACTTACAAAGTTAAGAAGGTACTAATCTAGTCATACTCAGTAATCCTCATCCTGAGGCTACACTCTTCCAGCTCATCTCTGACTTCAATATCCTGCATCCCTGTACGTCCTTAGCCTCCTCCACAGGCAACTCTTTTTTCCTCCTTTGGGTTTACTTTGTAACGGTCATTTTGGCCGTTAGGGACTAGTGACGAGATCATTCTCCCTCTTTTGATTCCTCAAAAAGACAGGAAGCCCGTGATTCTTAGTGATGCCTGCGGAGGAGGCTAGTACGTCCTTGGGAAACATGACATTGGCATTGACGTCATGCTGGAAAAAGAGAGTAGCCTGGGCTTGAGGTTAAGTAAGGGCCTTTGTTGATGTCTTTGGGCATGGGCAGTTGTTCTCTCATTTGTCATTTTTCCCATTATCCATTCTCATTTATTCATTTGTTCTCCCATCTAGATTAATATCAATATTGTTAAATAATGTCCAGTTTTTGTTTACCAATTATTGAATGAGTTCCTCCTTTCAGCCTTAAGAAAGATTTATTAAAGATTGCCTTATCTGTGGTATGTATTAGTTAATGGATTATAGTATATATCATAGTATCTAGTTCTTTGATTGTTCATTCTTTTTCTTTTCCAGGAATGTCAGCTGGATCTGACCACAGTTGCCTATGCTTATGTRTACTTTGAAAAGCTAATCCTAAAGGTACTTTCTCCTCTCTTGAACTGGATAGAATTAATAAACAATATTATGATTTAGTTCTTAAACAAATTAATATACAAAGCGTAGTAGATCCTGGTAATTCCTAGTATTTCAAAACCGACATAAAATAAATAAATGCAAAAAGAGGATTTTAGCTTTTTTTAATCATTATGGAAAAACCCTTTTTGTGAGGCATTGCTATTAGCAGAAATAGAATCTTCCATGACACAGTTCTTGAGCATGACCTGTGCATACTAGGCCTGGATGATTTTGACATCCTAAAATCCTTGTCATGTTTGGAAAATACGTACATGTACTAGTAAGTGTTCCAGTATCCTTCTACAACATTCAAAAATAATTATTTTTATGTTTAAATTGTAGGGCAAAATAAATAAACCAAACAGAAAACTTGTTGCAGGTACAGTGCCATTATAACACATCACTATGCATACCTGTACAGTATTCATTCTCTAGCTCTGATTTATTAAATTTTCAATTTCTTTTATTTCAATAAGGTCTATTTTATTATTTTGAGAAGTAACATGAAATATCATGGACATTATATTGTTATCTTAATATTGTATGTTTATTATCTCCAGGATCTTGTTTACTTCTTGCTGCAAAGTTCAATGATGACAGAAGAGTTAAAACCAAAGATCTTATAGATGTAAGAGAATGTGTTATATTTTTGTTATTGTTTCATTGATGTTGGCTCATAATGACTTTTTTACTAATACGGTGGCCACTAATACGGTGAAAACTGCAAAATGGCAATTGTCAAACAGAGATTGAATGACTGAAGTCTCCATTTCATGGAAGTAAACCCAACAATTGAATGTTTTGTATTTCAAATAGTGTAACCATAGTCCCTTTCAGTCGTGCAAATGATGTCGTTCTCCTTGATGTGTTTTTGAAAGTGTAAACAGCACTGGCCCCCTTTAAATAGCTACACATATTTTCTCTATGCTGAAAGTTTGATATGACCTTATTGATTCCTAYTTTGGTTTAATGTTTTTCAGAAAATTGAGGACAAGCTCAAGATTCAACTGAAGGATCTGCTTGGTTTTGAGTTCCAAGCTTTGGTGGGATTGGAATTCAATCTTCATATCCCTAGCAATGAAGTGCTGCCTCATTTGAAACGACTAGAAGCAGAACAACAATAATAGTTCATTAACTACGGTAGTATAGTCAGTTATTGTAATTTTACAGTAAAAGTTAATGGTTAGCTATTGTGCTATTTTCCATTTTTTTTTGTAAAATAGTGTGTTTATCATACATTTTATTCCAAAGATAAATGTTTTGGTTATTGTTAATGGTTTTCAAAAACCTATTCCACTCTTGTCTGTTATTTATTAACAGTTTATTTTTTAGAAAATCAAWTGTCAAAATTTTGTCCACGGAAATTCGAGGTGCTTGCGTTTGCAAACTAGGAAGTTTATCAGGTTTCAAACTAAAATGTTCTTTAAAGTTTTCTACTTGATAAGTAAGTTTTCTAAATAATGCATCTAGAAAATGTATTTACTTAGTATTAGCTTGCATTGATTTTTTTTTTGCAGTATGCATTATGTTGAAAGTTTTTATTATGGACATGAACCATGTTCTCCTAACATGATGAACATTTTAATGTTTGAACTAGTAATTAATCTAAGATAAAAATTTGACAATGAAAGCATAAGGTTGATCCTTGTGACGACAGTCTTTGAGAATGTAGTCGCAAGTATTTCATAGCCTAAAGAAGCTCACTATGGCTAATCATGTCATTGAAAAAAAAGTTGTTTATAGTCAGAATATCCTGGACCAGTATCTTTCCTAGTTGCATATAATATTTTAACTTCTCTTATTAGTAATAATTTTGTCTATTTTTCTTTATTTCCACCTGACTACAATTTCAACAAAACCTCTAAAGAATTTTTTTATCAGTGCCATAAGATTTTACACATTATAGAAGATGGTACAACAAAATCATTGAAGAAATTAGTATATTAAATATGGTATGAACAAATCCCAAAGTATACTAGGAAATAATGGTTATATTGAGCTTGTAAATAATGTCATTGTTATTTATAAATAAAGCATTTGACTTTACTATATATACAAGTGTTTTCATCACTATTTCTCAGTCACACTGCTACAGCTCAATTCAAACCCTTTTGTTTAATGTAATTTTATTTACTGAATAATGTACATTTAGTACTTACAATTATATTGTGTCCACAAAGAAAATTGCAAATTGCTGTTTTACA